TATTATTATTTTATTTTTTTTTCCACCAACCATGTTGACCTTTAGTGGAGGTACCTTCTTCTTACATCTATCTCCAAGATGAACATCTAATGCATAAGAGGATGCACATGTTTTGGTGAATTGAGAAAGAAATACTAATGTGAACTTGTTGGGGAGTATATTTTTATATTTTTTTTCTTTTCACCCATTTTTTTGTCTTTTTTTCTTTTTTTTTGGCAAAGATCACTTACAAGTAATCTTAGTACAATAATTCTTGCTTCAAAAAGAAAAATAAAAATAACAAATCTAATATCTTAAAAACTTTGATGCCGCTAAACCAATTTTCTTTTAATCAAAGAAAAAATCCACAATTCTTATACTTAGGAATATAGAAACCATATAAGTAAATATATCAAGAAAAAAAAAAAAAAAGAGTGTCGGAGATTACCTCAACCAGGCTTATTGCACCTCATACCGAGTCACCACCATCCGCTGATGCAGGATCAATGATCAACCTTCAATCTCAATCGGGAAAGTAATTTTAGGGCAAGCCACACTAATAGAACATGAATCCCTTTAATCAAAAACTCAAACCCTAAGTGAATTCCCTTAGCAACCTAGTTTGAGAGAGATGAATTTTTCTTTTGCTATACCCGAAAACCCTTAGTCATAAATCTATAGTTGAGAGATGAGAGAGAGAAGAACCCCATCGCCTAAACCCTTACCCCCTTTTTACAATGTGGGAGAGAGATAAAGATCAAAGATGAAAGAGTGGGACGTACCCCCTTTAGGCTTTCATGAGAGAGAGTGAGATAAACTTTCTTATGAAAGAGATAGAAATATAAGGTGTAAAGATTTTGGGTAGAGACAATCTCTTTTTTATAGGATTTAAGATTAGGGTTTTCCTTGGCTTGCATCTTCTTATGAGATTGAATATGAACAATCGATCTTGGGTAATTTGTGGGGTGAGAGATTGGAAAAATCCATTCTATAGATGGGCCATCAATTTTATGAAAGGTGCTATAACTTTTATCCTCTTTTTCTAAACCATTTTTCTATCAATAGAAATTAAATAAAATAATTCTAAATAAAATATTATGCATACCAAAATAACACAAGCCTTCTCATGCTTTCCTCAAGCCAATACCTTTACTAATTAGGTATACATATTCATAACGTGAATAATCGTCTATAAATGTTATGAAATATTCCATACCTCTATGTGTTTTCACATTTAATGGGTCACATATACCAGAGTGAACAAATAGTAAGTAGTTCAGTCGACATTTTCCCTTTAAGAAAAGGCTTTTTAGTTAATTTACCAGAAATATATGGCTCGCATGTTTTGAACACAATTTCTCCTAAATTAGAGAGCAAGTGTCTTGTAACCATTTGATTCATTTTGTCTTTATTTATATGTCCTAATCTTAAGTGCCATAAATATGGATCATCCATACACATAAAAGCATCAAAAGAAGCATCAATATAATCAGAAAATGATGAACTTTCATTAATATTCAGTCGGTACAAATTGTCAACTTTAGTACCGTACACCAAAGCTCTAGCATGCTTCCCAAGGGTAACCCGACCAGACCTGAACCTTGTTTCATAACCCTTGCCGTCTAGCCTTGGGACAGAAATCAAATTGCGCCTCATATTGAGTGCATATAATGTATCAGTCAATAAGAGATTTGTTCCTCCTGATAAACACAGTTTGAAAGTACCAACACCTAACACATCACATTATGTGTCATTTTCCATATAAATCCGTTGGTTACCGACTGCAATCTCTTTCAATTCTGTGAATCCAACATTGGTCCTCGAGACATGTCAAGTGGAGCCTGAGTCGACTCACCAATTTCTCAAGTCATGATCGGTAACTATTGATTCTAAGACTACGCAGATCAAGTCATTTCTCTTATTTTGATTATTTCGAACAAGGTTGTTATTTTGGTTCCTATTTTTATTTTTTTAGCTTTGGACAATTAAACTTGATGTGCCCAATTTTATTACAATAAAAACAGGTCTTCTCAACCTTAATCTTTTGACTTTTAAAATTTCTCCTCATTCCCTTAAACTTGAGGGAAGAGATGGACCCAGTCTTAGGATTAGGGGCAGTGTCGATTATCGATTGCAAAGATTAGGCTTTTACCAGAACTGTGAAAACTCTGTAAATTTTTGTGTCCATCTCCATGGCCATGAAACCCTTCTTAAAAAGGGATGGAGTAGGTCGTTCTCAACGTTCGGATTCCTCTTGAAATCTCTGAAAAAACGTGGCCCTATAACCCTGGGAAGTAGGTAGTTACTTTCTAGCCATTAGATAACGGCACTTTCTCTCTCTAAGAAGCCTCTCTTTTTTAGAGATAAGCATTAAATTATAAGAGAAAGAAATATTACACGTTTAAAGGCCCCATGGCCACACACACGTACCAACACACACTCACTCAACAAGTTGGCTAACTCGCCAAAACCGGATCTTATTATTTAACTATCTAACTTCTTTTGGAATTTTTTCATCATTTTTGGTTAATTATAAATATGTGAATTTCAACAAATTACTTTGAATAAACTAGAAACAAAAGGAAAAAGTTTACATAGAGCCGAGGCTCTAAACAATCAAAGTAGATCTTGCCTCAAATTTTTTACTATAAGAGGTTGTTTTGATGTCCAAATATCCTCAAATTCATTATATTGACATCAAGATGCATGAACATGAGAGAAAAAAAAGGATTTCAAGTTATGGATATAATGCATCTTGTAACACACTTTTGGATCGTCAATTTTCAAGATTTTCAAATTTTCATAAATTTGCTTGATCTATACGTTGTTTGAAGCTTTAAATTTTATAATTAAAACTAACAATATATTTTAAGATTATCACAAAGATTTCCAGTATTGAAACCACATCTCTCGACATTATTTGAGGGTGCGCTTTACTTTGATTGTATTTGAGGGTACGCTTTAAATAGTCTCGACATCTCTCGACACTATATGAGGGTACGCTTTACTTCAATACTATTTGAGGGTGCACTTTACTATTTGAGGGTGCACCCTATGCTAAGAGATAAACTTATACATAAAACTACCTATAAGTTCATCATATACAATCTTGTGTGGATCCTACTCCATGATAAATTGGAATTGTACAGAATGAGACTATTTACTTAAGGGTTAGGCTACATCATTTGGTGGTGTAGAACCTTAAAGTGTTCAGCATTTTTGGACACTAAAATACCCTTGAATTGTAATACAAATTTTTTTAAGTAAGGGTATTTTTTGTCATTTAGAATGGTAGAATGTATATTTTCATAAAAAAATAGTAGCATTCTATTAGTAGTTAAAAACAATTAATGCATCTTTTGGGTGATGGCACACACCATATCAGTGATGTCAATGTCTATTATTGTTAATAAATACTTTTGTTTTTATTAAAAATTTCTAGTTTATCTTTGACTAATTACTTAAAATACCCCTAAACAAAAAGTTACTATAGGCATCTAAATGTCTGAAAATGTTGAGTACTTAAAAGGTCTACACGACAAGTGGCGTAGCCTAACAAAACCCCTTACTTTAATATATAGAGGTCGCAATTTTCATTTACCATTACATATGAAATTAGGTGGTTGAGGTTAAGCATACAAGTCTAAAACAAAAATTATCGAATATTGTATAACATTTTTATCTAGGGAAATGTTTATATGAGGTTGCAACCTTAAAATGTAGAATCACAAATGCACCTAAAAAATCTATTGAAAATGTTGTTTTAATTTTGGAAAACCCTCTAATTGATCATCTCGACAGCGAGATGTGTGAATATGAAAAAAAAAAAGTTTTTGAATCCTATAAATAGTACATCTTGCAACACATTATCTTGACCGTCAATTTTCAAGATTTTCATGTATTTATAGATCTACTTGATTTTAAGCATTTTTTTAATTTAAAATTTTCTAATTAGATATGAAAATAGATTTTAAGATAAAGGAAAGCTTTCTATGCTCCCCCTACAACATAGAAGTTCTATGTTCTCCCTACCATCCAGCCGTCCATTTTTTATCAAGAGAGCCACTCGCCGTTTAATCTTAGATCTGACGTCTCAAAGTATTTTATTTTTAGTTTTTTTAATACAATTTTTTTTTAATATGAAATTTTATTTTTTAGTTTTTTTAATACAATTTTTTTTTAATATGAAATTTGGTACGTGCCATCTTCTCATTGGGGCGCACCTATAAAAAATATTAACAATAATTTTTTGATAAAAAACAATGACCAAAATACCATTTGAAACTTTTAAAGGTATTTTAGTTATTTTATTTTATTAAATCGTTAGTACCAGTTTAATATAAGAATAAACATCCAAAATTTGGTGTCAAAACAATTTATAAAAATAAAACAGTGCTGTGATTGGGACAATCTTAGCCCTCCATATTAAAATGGAAGGTTCGATATGGGGAATATAGAACTTCTATATTTTAAGGGAAACATAGAAAGCTTTCCCTTAATATAATCCTAAGAATTTTTAGGAAGAACATATTATGATAAAATTGCTCCTTAATTGGATTGTTCAAGGTTGCAACCTTATCGAAACCGAACCCTTTTATCTATGACATCAAATGGAAAAAAAATTATTGTGACCTCTTTGTACGAAACCTCCGGTAAAGTGGTGAGAAAAACTCGCCCTAAAACCTCTGCTGGGAATTTGGGTTTCTCCTCCAGAGTGGTGGTGATTTTGAAATGGGAACGGCTAGTGGGGCTTCTACTGGAGTGTCGGGCCCTTCTTCTTCTTCTTCATCTGCTGCTCCAAAGATTATTTTGGCGAAGCCTCCAAATTTGGGGGCAACTGTTAATCCCACCACCGCTAAATTTATCAGAAGCGAAGACGAAAGTGTGGCGAGGCCGAGGCCGAGCCTGGGTTCATTTACTTTCGTATCCGAATCGTGGGATGTTTTTACTGACCGTCTCTTGCCTGTACGCCTCTCTTTCTCTCTCGAAAACCCTAATCACTTTCTCTTTCTCTCGACCTCTTTAGAAAGCCCCATTTCCGCCCTCCCTCCCTCCCTCCTGCTCCCCTTTTATGAATTTTCGGAAAGTTCGAACACCTCTTTAGTCTAAAATCTCTCTTGTTTCCAAGTATAAATTGTGTCTATGTATTGCTAGATTTTTCTATATTTCTTCCATATTTCGGGTTGAAATAATCACGTCACATTCTGGAATTCGTTTTTTTTTTTTTGGAAAGTTGGGGTCCCTTTGGTTATGGAGAAAACATAATGAATGCCTGGATGACTTTATAGAGATCAGATTTTGAAAATCATTTCTATGACTAAAACAAAGTATTTACACCTTAAAATTCGTTGTATCTCTTTGTTCTAAATTCATCTTTGCGCATTATGTCATTTTATTGTATTTGATTTTGTTTCTACTTTTATGGTTATTTTCTATAATCTTTGACACAATTCTTGGGCATTGCATTCTGTCAGTTGAGGCTCTTTATTATCTCGTAACTATTGAATTACCTAAAATTGCGACAAACATACATGGTCAAATTTCAAGACTAAAAGGGGTTCAGTGGGGAGCAAGAAATCTGGCATTATTATGAGTAACTGCTCTATATTGGATCCAATAACATCTAGAAATTCATGTTAGTTATATTCAATTGTGTGTTCTATGGAGGTCCGTTGTTTTCTCGAGTGATGCATAAATCCTCAGGCATCTAAGGCAGTCTATATTAACATGCCTTCCGGACTAAATGGTAATCTACCCAGGTTTTCGTGGGTCTTCATGATCGACTCAATTTTTATTACTAAGAGTAATTATTTTGAACTTTATGCACTTGAATATGGTTATACTTTATTGTTTTCTAAATTCTGTCATGTTTTCCAGTTTATGTCCGACAACACAGATTTCACCGTTATTGGTATCATAGGCCCTCCAGGAGTTGGGAAGTCCACAATTTTGAATGAGCTTTATGGATTTGATGGCGGAACGACTGGTATGTGCTATTCTATGTACTGAAGTTTAAGAGCTATTGTGCACATTCATGTGCCTAGTTGTTCCATTTGCCCTGAAAACTGTTATCTGTTATATTTATTTGCCTAATTGTCTTCACGAGTTGCCCACTACCTTTTAAGTTTCAATATCCACCGGGCCTGTGAACTTTTCCGTTAGTTCACGGGCCACCTGGCTTTTGAACAGTGATAGTGTTATATTTCTTGTTTTTGCAGATGTACCGAAAACTGTGTGGAGTTTCTGTGACTTGTACATGCAATAATTTTGAAAGTCTTGTTCATGAAGCTTAGAAGCATTTTATTGTCGGTGAGATGGAACAACACCAATTGATGCTCTTCTTTAAGCACTATTTTCTGACATTTAAAAAATACTTAACTCCATATTTAAGATAAAGGGAGTGACGTACCAATCCAAAAACTATGTGCTGAAGAGCCATTTCTCCTATTCTTAATCTAGAACAGAATAAGGATTTGGAAAGTAGTAAGGATGCCCTGAAATATTACATCCATGTGATTCGCTCAATGGGCTTTTTTATCTTGCTTTTCAATAATTATGTGCGTGAAGTTGCCCTGTCATCTGGGGGAATTGGGGTTGGGTATTGACAAAAGCTATTTTCGATTTTTCATAGCTTGCTATAAACTGGAATTACAATTGGATAATGTAGGCTACCTGAACAGCCGTTGCTAAGAGTAGCAATACTGGGGGAGAAATTTAATCAAATCTGTAGGTAGTATGCATATCCTACGAAATTTCATTTTAGTGCTTGTGGGCTAAGAAGGGTAGCTATTTTTGCTGTTCTTTTGTTCTTCTTCGTATTAAGGATCTAGGATCTTAGGATTTCAATATGTGAGTTATACTTGAGTTTAGTTCAATATTGGATTCTTTTTTAGTTAATATTTTGTAAGGTCGTATGGATATTTTGTAAGGTCAGTACTGTTTTGTAAGGACTATCAGCGTCCTTTAATCAATTGTTTTATGGATGATCCATTTTTATGAGTCGATTGGCAAATATTTTCTGTCTTTTCTTATATGTGGGGATTTGCAGGAATGCTCCCACCTTTTCCAATACAGTCTGAGGAAACAAGGGCAATGGCAAAACACTGCAGTGTGGGTATCGAACTGCGGATTTCTGCTGAGAGGCTGATACTCCTTGATACTCAGGTTCCCTGTAGACACTTAATTTTTTTTATCTTATTCATTTATGATTAGGGTATTCTTTAGCTCAAACCGTTAAAGAAAAGAAAAATTGTAAAGAATACATAATGAAAAGATGTGCCTTAGATTTTACTCTTACCATTTAAAGCATTGAAACAATAAAAGCAAGGAGCAAATGGCAGGTTTTGTAATTTTCATCTTTGCCTTATCCATTTGTACATGAGATGGCAACACATTTTTTTGCTATAATAATTATTGGTACTTATTAGTTTCCCTCTCTCTCTCTCT